CCTCTCTTTAACTCCTCATAGACAGCTTGTGCATAAACATACACACAGCCTGTGTGTTGTTTCAGAAGGATCTTACATGATCAGTTAATTTCCAGTGTTGACTTCTTCAGGACACATTTAATGTAGTTGTTAAAATTTACTCGCCTTAATCTCCAGAAGTCTGTAAAAGGAATTTATCTACTTTTTCTCTATGCCTCCTTCCTGACTGAACCTTAAAACAGCAGTTTGGAAAACGATTTTCTACAAATGCTATCCTGAATGCTTGTGGCAAGAAAACTACCCAAATAAATTTCCCTTGCTGTTGTGAAACTTCTAGCTTTATGGGGAGTTATTTGCTGCTTCTTTCATAGAGTAGAAGAGCAAATCAGTCTTTGAAAGCAATTAGTTTATCTTCTGTTGCTATCCTTTTCTTTCACAGTGTTCCTACCCTTCCCTCCTAAATGAATTGTTGTCCTATCCCATTAAATTCTTAAGTATTCTCTTCAGTCTCCAGAGAGGTGAACTTTCAATTAAGCTTGCTTGATGCTACCAAATTATTTTTGTTAATAAGATATTATTTCAATAAGTTACTTAAGCAATCTCAATTGTGAGTATGTGCATACAGATAATACAGTCACTGACTGTATGGATCACTTCCTTAATGACTATTTTCTTAATTTATGGTTACTGCCAAGAAATTATTCCTCAAATTTCTGAGTAGTACCTGAATATTTCTATGCACAGTGGTATATGTATACGTACAAATATTGGTCAAATTTTCCAATGTCCAAGACACTTTGGTTCATTTAATAGGTATAAATACCTTTTTGGTTAAAATAGACATTTATGTAAAAGCGTAACTTAATTTTTATATGTGGTTGTGTGTATTTTCTGTGTTGATTTCTTTGTATTGAAGTTGAGGCCCCTCCAAGTTATTTTATCTCTGTATTTTTTTTTTCCCCCTCATCTAGTATGTTCTGTCACTTTCAGATGGTTTGGTTTTACGTTTATGTATAGTGTGTGTCTGTCTCATTGCTTGTTGATTTACACTGGTTTTATAAAATGAAAACCAAATAGAAAAAAGGAGACCACATTTTCCAAGTGAAAACACTGCCTGGGAAGGAGAAGCAATGGACTGCAATGCCGTGGATTGCTGGAGCAAAACCAGAGGAAACCGATAAGGTGGCTGCCCTGAAACCTCCTGCCTTTTTGCTGCATCTGCTCTGGGCTAGCTTGGGCACTTCTTTCTTTTTCTTTTGTTTTTTCTTCCCCCCTCCCCCCGATGGAAATAACTTTTTTTTTAAGCCAGTACTGAAAGGCGAAGGTTGAGTTGTAAACCAGGATCTATGTAGGTGTGTATATATACACACCTATGAATTCCAGCAACATTCTGCTTAAACACTAAACTAACTGTGAAGGTCTGAATGGCTACTGTTTGCAAAGAAAACCAGTTTTTCACTGGAAAATTACTGTATTTGATGTGACTAGGATGACAGCAAAACATGTATTTCCATTCTATATGGAAATAATTGTCTGCGGTTATTTGACACTTCACACAAGAACTTTTGCTTTACGTGTTCACTATGTAATCATTATTCAAATCAATAATGCTGTAGAAGCAGCTTCATTTCAAAGGCAACCTGGTTCTGAGTACCTCCACACTCTTCTGTACCTCTCTTTTCATCCAGGAAAAGAAGACGGAGGGTTTTCTTCCCCCCATAAGCTGGTTTAACATCTATGCAGTGAAAAGCACTATGTAAGCAGTAGGACTACTAGCAGTGTGATAGTGATGATGGGTAGCAATTGTGAAGTTGTTTTTTTTACATCACTTTTAGATTATTTTCCACCACCTAGGAACTGGGACAAAAGTAGGTGAATGTGAAGCTGTCAGCCCTATTTCAGTAACATATATAAATAAGAAGTTTGGGAAACAGTGTATTTCCATCCTGAATTATTTATTGACAGATGTAGAGAAGTTTGTATTCAAGTGTTTTGTTATCCCCAATTTATAAACTTGCTGATATCAGTAGACTCAATACATTGCTTAGTCCTGTTCCTGGACTGTATGTTTCCTTGCCTGTCTTTTAGGATAGCTGGACAATAGATGAGAATAAAGCAGGGATACCACTGCTAATACTCTTTCTTTTCCTCCTTCTTTTGCTCCAGTGAAAATACTTACAAATAAGTCATTTTCTATGTATGAGAAATGTTGGTTTGGGTACATCTCGTTTGTGCCACTATACTTCTGTATCACCCTACTCCCACAAATGCACAGCATCTGTGACTTAATTACAACAGAAATTGTGACACATTTATATATATGTCACAAATAAATACGTGAAATGTTATGTTATGGATACCTGCAATATTTTACTTTTTTTAATCCATCATCCCCCCTACTCCAGCTGCTTGTAAACAGTATTTCATGTTAGTGTATATGACTATGTACCAGAAGGAATTTACCAGGAATTTAAACGTCTTCACAAGCTGATACATTATTGTAACTACAATAATTTTATGAAAAGTTCCAATTCTATCTATGCATTTAATCATTTTTACTAAATAACTCCTCAGGAAACAGGGCTTATGCTATCAAACAAATTGTGTGATGGGGGTTTTCCTTTTAAAAGATTTGAAGACCTAAAAGTTTAAAGGTGGTAAAATGCAAAAAGATGGGTGGTATGTGCCTGTCTATAATTGTATACATATGTAGGGGGAGAGAGAGAGAGAGAGAGAGATGCACACAGTCTGACTACATACCACATAAATATTTTTTTAATCCCTCGCCGTTTTTTTTTTTTTACTGCTTTGGTTAGAAAACATGTGGTACCATAGTACAGTAGAAGGAGTATCATAAGCATTTTTGCCTTTTGATGTAATCTATTAATAGATGAACATTTATTGGGCATG